TTCCAGTATAAAACTTAGTAGGAAGCAATTTTAAGTGTTATGTACCACGTACAGAGCCCTAGACAGAGCTAGTAAGACTAGGTCTGGGGGACCCAACCACTTCCAGCGTGGCCAGGAGGCACTTGGGCTTGGCTTTGCCTGCAGCTGGTGGCCCAGGTACTGAAGATAAACATATGTACCTGGGCCTCACCATGGTCACTTGTGTAGACTACAAAATTTAAAGGCTCAAAATCAAAAACATAAGCTCAGACAAATCAAATAAATATTAAAAATATCTCAGGAGCAATAGTTTGGTGACCTTAAAACATGAAGAAACAGTATAAATTTGACCAGTAGACTCAAGGCAAAAATGTCTGAATTATATTTAATACTGACAATTTGGAAGATATTCATATTTTATTTTACCAACAGTCTTTAAACTAGCTTTATTTCAAAGAGAGAGAATTTAAGCTTTCGAGGAAGGTTAATCTGAATTACCAGACTACAAGGTGGAATGAACTTCTTTATAAATCCCACAGGGGATCCAGAGCCACTGCACCCAGCCTGTACTCATAATTCTTTATAGTTTCTTTACTTGAAAAAAAAATGTTAATATCTTTAATCTGTTTGGAATTTATGTTTTGCCAACTATAATGGCAAATCCTTCTACCTCTTTTTCAAAAATTTCTTGGATTTTCTGACATTTGCTCTTTCAACTATATGATTAAGCTGAGTCTAAAGCTCCATAAATTTCAAGGGTGCAGTGAGCTATGATTGTGCCACTGCACTCCAGCCTGGGCTCAGAATGAGACCTTGTCTCTAAAAGAAAAAAAAAAAAAAAAGGCTCTGTAAATATTCTTAGAATTTTTATTGGAATTGCCTTAGGATTATAGATTGTGGATTATTTGAGGGGAACTGATATTTTTACTGTTGACTATTCCCATCCAGAAATGGATATTTCTGTCCATATATTTAGCACTCCTTTATGTCTATTAGTTCTCTGTTGGTATATTCCTAGGTATTTTATAATTTGTATTAGTATTGTAAGTAGAATTTTTCATCCTATTATATATCTTAATTTATTATTGCTGATATACTCAGCTACTTTGCCGAAGTCGTCTTATTTGTTCTAGTGTTTTTTTCAGTTGATTGTCTCAGATTTTCTAGATGATGGTTATATCATCTGCAGCTTTAGACCTGTGCTATAAATGGACCAAAAATAATGCTGCTTTTTTATTCTAAGAAAAACAATTCAGTGGAGTAATGAAGTGAAAAGTATAGTAAAAATTACCCTTTAAATTTGCTTGAATACTTGAACTCAATACTTCTTATAAAATAATAAGCCAATTAATTTATTCGCTAAGCACCTAAGCCAATAGGCCTTTTTCATGGAAAGTCCCAGAGGTAACTTTCCAGGTTCAAAGTACCATAGACGTGAGTGGCGTTTTTTTAAATGGCACAGATGTAGTCCTGCATGATCCCCAAAGGAATTCACACCCGTAAATAGGCTAAGATAGCAGAAGACTCTTGTTGCCATAGACAAGTGAAGGATTAAAGCTCACGCCTGTAATCCCAGCACTTTGTGAGGGCAAAGGGTGCAGATCACAAGGTCAGGAGATTGAGATCATCCTGGCCAACATGGTGAAACCCTGTCTGTACTAAAAATAACAAAAATTAGCTGGGCATGGTGATGTGCATCTGAAGTCCCAGCCACTCGGGAGGCTGAGGTAGGAGAATCACTTGAACCCAGGAGGTGGAGGTTGCAATGAGCCAAGATCGTGCCACTGTGCTCCAGCCTGGTGACAGAGCGAGACTCTATCTCAATAATAAGCATGAATATACAGAATAATAGTAATAAAGACTATATACAGAATAATAGTAATAAAGACTATATATATGGACTATTTATAGCATTTTGAACTTAAAGCATCAAGATGGTAGCATAAATTAATTTCTGGAAGGATAACCTGAACACTTATTTTTCATCATGGTTATTTTTGCTATTCTCTCTCATGACTGTGATAATAGAAATGCAGCAATGAAAAAGGATGAGGATAATGATGTAGCACCTGCTTAATGAATAATAAGACCATTCAGATGAGTAAAATACATAATTTCAATAAATTGTGTTACCTTTCCCCTGAAAACACTATCAGGAAGTTGTTAGAGTTTGATGCCTCCCCAGTAGTCAGCCTTGGTGACTGAGGGAGTAATCAGCTCAGAAGGTTTGTGTAGGCCCTGGTACTGGTTATTTTTCTGTCTTAATGTCTTGAACAGCTCAAAATATTTCTTAAAAGGGTCTCAAATCTCCTATGTGTGATTTTGTGGTTTTATTCTACTGACAGAACATATTCAGAAATTAAGTCATTTTTTGAACAATACGTTGAAGACTTTCTCCTGGTGGCTTTTCCTGTTATTCTTTCTGCTCTTCCCATTTTCTACATTCTTTGTCAGTGTTTATTTTTATTTTTATTTTTTGAGACGGAGTCTCACTCTGTCACGCAGGCTGTAGTGCTGTGATGCAACCTTGGCTTACTGCAACCTCCGCCTCCCAGGTTCAAGCGATTCTTCTGCCTCTGCCTCCCCAGTAGCTGAGATTACAGTCATGTGCCACCACGTCCGGCTATTTTTTGTATTTCTAGTAGAGATGGGGTTTTACCGTGTTAGCCAGGATGGTTTTGATCTCCTAACCTCATGATCTGCCCGCCTCGGCCTCCCAAAGTGCTGGGATTAGAGGCGTGAGCCACCGCGCCCAGCCTGTCAGTGTTTTCTTAAGGCCCACAATTAATTCTTAAATTTCTTCCTTGCAGCTGTGAACAAAATCATCCCTACTATCTTGGCCTGGCTGCCTATACCGTGTTTTTTTTTTCACTTTTTTGACAGAGAACAGGAAACCTTTTAAATCTTTCACACATGCTTTTCATTATGTCCTCCATGCTTTAATTATTTACAGTTTAATTGCATCCATGACTATTTAATATGGGCGAAACATTCTTGGCAATGTTGAAGAACCTCCAAACCTGATTGTGTCATGTTTAACATCAGGTTTACCATCCATACATGGATGTGTTGATGAAACTCTAAGCCTCCTGTAAGTGGACTTGAAATAGCAAATCACACTTCATTTCAGTGGTTGGTGGATGAAAGTGGTATAGGAGGCAGAAAACAACTTCAGCATAGTTACTTGCAAACTGGAATGTTTCAGTGTCCAGGAATAAGTGATCAGCAACACGTTTAAAACATTTCTTTTTGGCTGGGTGCATTGGCTCACACCTGTAATCCCAGCACTTTGGGAGGCTGAGGTGGGCATGAGGCTGAGGTCACGAGTTGAAGACCAGCCTGTAACCAGGCCAACATGGTGAAAATACAGAAAAAAACTTAGCCAGGCATGATGGCAGGTGCCTGTAATCCAAGCTACTTGGGAGGTTGAGGCAGAAGAATCTCTTGAATTTGGGAAGATGGTGGAGGTTGCAGTGAGCCAAAATCGTGCCACTGCACTCTAGCCTGGGCAACAGCACGAGACTCTCAAAAAAAAAAAAAAAAAAAAAATCCCTTTTTTGGTCGGGCACAGTGGCCCAAGGAGGGCAGATCATGAGTTCAAGACCAGCCTGGCCAATATGGTGAAACCCCGTCTCTACTAAAAATACAAAAAATAGCCGGGCGTGTTGGCAGCTGGGCCTGTACATCCCAGCTTCTCGGGAGGCCGAGGCAGGAGAATCGCTTGAACCCAGGAGGTAGAGGTTGCAGTGAGCCGAGATAGTGCCATTGCGCTCCAGGCTGGCAACAAAGTGAGACTCCATCTCAAAAAAATAAAAAATCCCTTTTATGAAGTTCTTACTGACCTCTTGATTGAATATCTGTAAAAGTAATCCAGAAATTACACTGCCACTGAACAACCCTTCCCCCACCGTGTGTGTGTGTGTGTGTGTGTGTGTGTGTGTGTGTGTGTCTATACACAACACAGGCATGATAGCTTCTTTACAAGAAAACTTGTAAAGGACCAAAAGGAGGAGTGGGGAATAACTGCTTAATGGGTATGGTGTTTCCTTCTAGGGTGATAAAGATATTTTGGAACTAGATAGAGGTGGTGGTTGTACAACTAAAAGAATTTTCTAAATGCATCTGAATTGTTCAGTTTAAAATGGTTAATTTTATGTTATGTGAGTTTCAAATTAAAAAAAAAATCCTTATGTAAATGGTTTTGCTGCCCCCTCATACACAGATCATGGATTTCTCCACAAATAGAAACTCGATTTGAAAAAATCTTATCAGCATAATCATTGCAATGATTTGTAATGTTTAAAGAAATAAATAGATATTTCAGATTCTGATTTTTGGTGAGATAATTGGTAAGCAGAAGAATCTATTATCACTAAATATTTTAGATTTAATATATAGTTTTTCCTTTAAAAATTCTGATGTTTATGATGGATGCAAACGGACAATTACTTTATATGTTTTCTAGTCAACTATATGATTTGTTTATATTAAATAACTGGTTTTCTAAGACAAAAATTCTAATACATTAAATTTAAACATCAAACATCATGCATTAAAATTCTAGGTCTAGATTAAGAATCAGGATAGTTTTTCTTCCTTTGACTGTGTGTGTGTCTCTACCTTCCTATTATGTACTTTTGCACCTTTAAGCTTAACTCTCACTTATTAAAATGAAACTCACTTTGCCATTTACTGTGTTACCTTGTTTCTTAACCTCTTAATTTGTTTCTCTCACAAGTGGGAGATGCATACCTCGCCACACTTGTGTGGCTAGAACGAGGTTCAATGTTTTTGCAGTGTCCGATACCTAGTAGGTGGTACATAAAGAGTAGCAGTGATTATTTCCCAAGAACTTAAGTGTTATCAGAAAATGTTAAGTTTTCACCTTCACCTTACTGTTACCTTTTTAAAGCTGTTGGAGCCTGTGGAAACATAAACCTGTTTTGAAAACTGATACCTGATGGACATGCAGGCCTTTAATATGATTCTTATCAGTGGTTTATTTGCTTTGTTTTTCTCAGGTGAAAGAAAAGATGTTGTCCCGGTTAAAAGCAGTTTCCACCACTTGTACTGTGGCATGTCGACATTTGCACATAAAAGAAAAAGGCAAGCCACTTATGCTGAATCCAAGAACAAACAAGGTTAGTAACATTAATACCAGTGTACGTTTTCTCTCTTCCTGGTAAAGGTTTGATATAGTTTAGAGTGATAAGATGTGAAATATTTTTGTAGCTTTATGCTAATGCTGTTCAGAGATACTTGTTTACATGAACTTTTCACACTTTTCCACATGGCAAAATCATGGTTGCTTTATCGTTCCTCAATTTCATCCTCATAACTTTTACCACCAGAAAAGGATTGACTTTGCTTCCTAGTTCTAGCTTTAAAAAATAAAAAATCCCAGAATAGTGTTTTGGTCAGGACTTGGGGCCACCTGTGAGATACTTACATTTCCCCAGCTCACATCAGATACTCACCCTGAGCCAATCAGGCTCTTGGAAGGTGGGGTCAAAATTGTGACATGAACCTTTATGTGAAGTGTACATCACCCCACCTCCACCTATCTTTTTGGACACAAACCATTGCACACAAAAAATTTCATCCATTAATTAGAACAGTTAGATGACTGCTTCGAAGGAGAGAGACCCCTGACTCTTTATTATACTCTTGGGACAAAAGTGATACACAATATTGAGATCCAGTCATTACTTCATCCTTTATCTGTGTTTGGTTCAGTGGACAAGTGCCTGTCTGTTTTTTAGTGGCAATATTAAATAGTAAGTAAACAATTCTGGGAAGAGTTTTT